AATCATCGGGTCATCATTGCACCGACTATTATTATTTGTTATATGCGTGCGTGTTGTTTATTTGTTCAGAGAATATAGTATCAAAATGTTGTACGATGCATTAACAAGACCTTTTATTGGTACGGTACTTATTCTCAACACAGAAATCAAAAACAAACATTAAATTTCTATGCACGTACGTACGTACGTACGTATGTTAATGCATACTTAAATTTGTTCAATAAATAACACGGATGATGCTTAAATTGGCTGATGCTGAAACTTGGACCTGTTTAATAGGAAATTTTAAAAATCCTTGATTTTTTTTTTAGGGGTTTGATTTAGAGTTAATACACTAAAACCAATTTTATTTGTACAAAAAGACGGTCTTTATGTATTTACAATAAATAAAAGTTTCAAGAATATGTCTCGTTAGCTTCTAATCAGGATCGAATAATCTTGATTAATCTTCGTTGAATCGTACGATATAAGATCTTTCGATTTGATCGACGAATTTTGTAATTTTGATAATATAATATTCACTTTATTAGTGGACATGCTTGGACAAATTCTAGGATATGTTATACAAGAAAAGAAATACCAACCTCCATATTGTACAATCATAACTTGATCTAATTAAATAAAATGGTTAGCACCTAGTTTAATATAATTAAGCAAAAAAAATTTAGATTTGAACAATAGTCTGATCTGAATTAGTACTTTTAAAATCATTCGATTTAATAATCGAATGTTATCAAAACCATTTGATCTTAACAGGACAGATAACGATTTTTTTTTTTTTTGAGATAAACTTGAATTAAATATTAGAAAATTCAACTAGATTTAAAGATAAAGCTGCCTAAATTTTTTTTTAAACTTTTATACATTGGGGGGTTCCAGAATTAATGATCTGGCATCCGATTTCAGATATAATAAGTGACGTAGTTACGTCAAAATATGTGATCCATAAATCCTTATAAACTTATATAATCGATAGATATTTATCAAAAAAAAGTTAATTTTATTACCATGTGCGCCTACTTAATTCCCTGATTCGGAATTTAAAAATAGAAATAAGGATCTTTTAAACACCCACTTATTTTCGAAATAAGTTAATTCTGAAGTCACATTTTTTCATCTCTTATTACAGATTACAAAAAAAACAATAAATTACCGCTTTATTGTAATACCGATTTTGTAAATAAGCTGTAACGTCAATAATTATTCTCAAATGAGAAAAACTAATACGAATTCGTAGAAAATTCGGATATGCAATTCTTGATAAAAATCGATCAAAATTTATATTTTATACAGACGTACATACTGTTTAAGTGTTTGATCCATCGTTGAGTTAATATAATACAGGAAAAACTTTTAGAAAAATTTTCTTTGATAGATTGATATTCGAATAAATTAGTATAACAAAGGTAGATGAGATTTGCCAAAAAAACTTTCAGTAAAAATATTCAGAAACGTTAAACGTTTAACAATCAAATTCGGCATTAATATTTTCAATCATTTGACCAACATATTTCTACTCAAAACTATGAAATCCCATTAAACGTTTACAGTAATAAATTTTTGATGGTTTAATCTCTATTCCATCCTCTGAATTCGAACGTTTTTTTAGTAAGAGTCACCTAATAAAAGATACACACACACATATATATATTTTAGTCGTTCCAACATTTACTGCGATTTGTTATGACCATGACAGTTATTGGAATCAATACAATAGACCTAAGAAATAAGATCCCAGAAATCTTGAGCATATGAGATCCAAACATTGAGAAAGTATTAATTCAGTGACTTGTTGAAACAAGTACAAGTACAATGATATCTAATAGGTACCAATAGACATCCTTATTGTTGCCAGATTTTAGTGCAAAAAGAGGTTAATAGGATATCAATAGACATCAATCGGAATAATATTATTCTGATTGATGACTAATGATACCTTATTGACCCCTTTTTGCGCCAAATCTGGCAACAATAAGGATGTCTCTACCAACATAGAGATGAACCGCTCTACAAAATAGAGACAAAGTGTTTGTTGTTAGTTTTCATTCGCACAAAGTTAGTAGAGAAAACACTATTGCAAATATGACGGTAGAAATAATATTATTAACTTATTTTTGCTAGTCATTAATATTAAATTCTCGGCCGAGATTTAGATATTTGTTACATAATCACTTGTCTTAATTTATTGTTATTATGTTATTGATGATTTTAAGAGAAGGGATGATCGACACGAATTATATCTGCGTACGTACGTACTCATTATGTAACACCTTTTAAAGAATATAAAAGAAATACTTTTTATAATAATCCTCCAATCACTATTCCAAAATCACGGGATAATATCCTGATCCGTATGTGAATAGGATTTCGTTTCCACCAATTCCCAACGATTAGAATATTATAATTACTAATAATGAAAGGTGTTTTAAAAATTTTGACGAATCGTAAGGGCTAATTTTATAGTGATCTAAATAGTAGAACCAATTACTTATAACTCTGGTCAAATTTGCAGATCAATTGGCCAGATTCAAAATCAAATCATTTTGAACTTGGCCAAACGATCGGCAAATTTGACCAGTGTTATAAGTAATCGGTTCTACTATTTAGATACTATCAAAATTAGCCCTAATGTTACTATTATATTTAAAATACTACTATATTTAAAATTAAAGTGACATTTGAAATATTGGTCAAAAACGTCTTATTGCTAAAATTCGGAAGAAATTAGATAGGGTCTTTAATCTTTTATTTTTCTATGTGCGATAATATATCACAATATTAACTCTTCATCACTAGCATCCTTTATTGTAGCCGTTTTCATCATTATATATGGAGAAAGTAATTTTTGACAAAGTCAATATGTCCTTTCTTGCATTTCCTTTCAGATTTTTGCAATGAATATTTTCAAAAGTTCCATGAAATTCTCATTATCTAAACCAAAAAAATGTAGTATTCCAAGATGTACTATGCCCGCTTACATTGATGAAAATGGCTATGAATATCCAAATTGTGGCCAAACTTGCGGCAATGTCATTATTAAACATTCTAAGACACTTATAATTTCTAAATTAGATAAATGTGTCCCATCTATAAAAGTCCTTCATGAAAAGGATTTAAATTATAAAGAAATTCAAAAAGAATTTCTTAAATCGATGATTCACATTAAAATTATAGCTATCGTTCGTATTGAAACATCACAGGAAAAACGTCAAATCGCAAAATCTATTGAACAAACTCCTAAAAGAGTCAAACGTAGATTGTATTATGGAACTCGTGCAAGTTGTGATCCAAGAAAGATTTTGAAACATAAGAAGGCTTGTTCAGATCCGAAATGTGGAATGTGTAGCATTATTAAATATGGAACAAAAGCTAAACTTTTACGCCGCGGAAAAAGTATGAATTACATATCGGCAGATCTGCGTAGTCTAATAATAATTCGGGTCAAAATTGTCGTTCATTTGGCCAATTTTAAATTATTTAACTCCAGTTCTGGTCAAGTGATCGACAATTTTGATTAATTATAACTGATGGGTTTTTTACATTTATTAGACAGTGCAAATCCGCCGATCTAATTTTTTTATAATATAAAATTTCAAATACCGTAATAACAAAAAACTAATTTTATTCTTAGTGAAGTTTACTAGAATATCATCAATTGCTGCAACTAATGCATATAATCAAAAAATTCCACGCGAACGTCCGAGTACTATATTTATCGTTGATGTTTTAACGACTAACGATACATCTTCCGATGTTATAATCGTTGAACGGGACGCGGTATATATTTATAAATCATAATTTTTAATCATAATTTTTAATCATACTTTTAATCGTTATTTTTAATCGTCATTTTTGAATGCCAACATCTTTTACTTTTTGGTATACTTTTTTGGTACACTTTGGTATATTTATTTTGGTGGTGAATTAAATTAATAGATAACGATTCCAAGATACCTTGTTCTATACGATCATATTTGAACTGCACATATAATATTGCCAATACTGCTTCTATTTCATATATTTACCATTTATATCTTGGGAAATTGGTTTATATATTGTTAAGTTTGTTGATAATAAAGTTGATTAAATACTTCTTAATGCTTGATGAATTTTTGTCAAATCTAAATTTTTCGTGTCAAGCCAGTTACACGTTTGGTAGTACGTTTAAAAGTTCATAAGAACCAAAAACAAATATTTTAATAATTTTACAATAAAATATCATTTCATTTGTTTTTCATCTTATAATTCATTGCTAATTTGCTAATTTGCTAATTTGCTAATTTATATAATAAATATTACAATAACCAATCAACTTGTGAATGTCGTGAAGATGCAACTTCAGTCGCCTGAAATTACACCTGCCTAAAATTGCTAATTAGGTCGATTTAGCGGAATTGAAAAAGGTCGGTCGTCCTGCATAAAATCTTAACATATAGATTTTAATATATAGATAACATTATAGTTATGCTATATTAACATGTTACTTGATGCAATAAATATCAAAGATGATGCTGAAATTTGGAGTCTCGATTTGAAAATACAAGCTCTACCAAAATCCATCTATATTCTCTTATTAACAACCCAAACCCCAAATCCTAAAAAAAAAAAAAAAAAGTCATGAAATAAATCCAAATTTCAGTAACATACGTCAAAATAATAGCGGCAACGAATGCCATTAAAGAAACG